CTACTTATGTATTTGGCTGGGCCGGATCTTAGCCGTGGCACACAGGATCTTTAATCTTCATTGTAGCAAATGGAATCTAGTTCCCTGACCATAAATCCAGCCCAGGTCCCCCTGCATCAGCAAGCATGGAGCCTTAGCCACTGGATCGCCAGGGAAGTCCCAAAAATGTTCTTATTATAAAGCTACACATTTTAAAAATGTAGAACCAGACCCAGGTGGCTCAGTGGTAAAGAATCAGCCTGCCAGTGCAGGAGATAGAGATTCAATCCCTGAATTGGGACGATCCGCTGAAGAAGGAAATGGCAACCCACTCCAGTATTCTTGCCTGGGAAATCCCATGGACAGAAGGGCGTGTCAAGCTATAATCCATAGGGTCTCAAAGAGTTGGAAACTACTGAAGCAACAGCATGCATGCACACCAGTTCAGGAAAATAAAGTAAAGTAAAGTAAAATAAAGTCGCTCAGTCCTATCTGACTCTTTGCGACCCCATGGACTATAGCCTACCAGGCTTCTCCGTCCATGGGATTTTCCAGGTAAGAATACTGGAGTGGGTTGCCATTTCCTTCTCTCAGGAATAGATAAGTCAAAAGGAAAAAGTGAAAGTGAAAGTCGCTTCCAACTCTTTGTGACCCCATGGACTACACATACAGTCCATGGAATTTTCCAGGCCAGAATACTGGAGTGGGAAGCCTTTTCCTTCTCCAAGGGATCTTCCCAACCCAGGGATCAAACCCAGGTCTCCAGCATTGCAGGTGGATTCTTAACCAGCTGAGCTACAAGGGAAGCCCAAGAATACTGGAGTGGGTAGCCAGGGAATCTTCCCAACCCAGGAATCAATCTGGGGTCTCCTGAATTGCAGGTGAATTCTTTACCAACTGTGCTATGAGGGAAGCCCAATCAAAAAGAACAGAAGAGATAACTCTAGACACAAACTTCTGTTGCTTAGTTGCTAAGTTGTGTCCGACTTTTTGTGACCCCATGGAATGTAGCCCTGTCAGGCTCCTCTGTCCATGGGGTTTCCCAGGCAAGAATGCTGGAGAGGGTTGCCATTTCCTTCTCCAGGGGACCTTGCTGACCCAGGGATCAAACTCACATCTCCTGGCACATACACCATTGGCAGGTGTATTCTTTACCACTGTGTCACATGGGAAGCCGCAGAAATAAGCTAAATCGATATAAAGTTTTACTATATGTTAAAAGTGATATTTGAAATTAAATCATTTAACCAACTTATTAGCCAGCAGAGCTACCTAGCTAAAAATATCAGGAAAAATACTCTTGGTTGATAGCATTTAGCAAAGTAAATTCTAAGTGAATGAATGAAGCTATGATAGCTCTAGGAGGGAATATTTTTCTTCTCTTAGAGTAGAGAAGACATTTCTAGGAATACATACAAATTCAGATTTTTAGGAAAAATTAATATCTTTGGCTACACAAAATTCAGAAATTTCTACAGGTAGAAAATTCACAGGACTATCTCTTGCTGGTCTTTTATATGATACCATCTGATTAAAAATATACATATGTAATATAAAAGACAGTGTTTAGATTCTTAGTATGTAAAGAACTCTTACAAATTAATAAAAAAGATAAATGTCCTAAAAGACATGTAGGCAATTCATAAAAGAGAGAGCAAGGTTTTAGAAAAAAAGTATGAAAAAGAATTCAACATCACCAGTTTCTAAATATATAATTTTATTGTATATTAAACATTCAATTAAAAATAACAATGAAGTTGGAGTGGTTTTTTTTCTGAACAAATTAGCAATTCTGTTAAAGTATAAAAGCATATTTTTTAGGAAGGGGGCAGAGCATTCTCAAGAGCTGCTGAGCAGGAAGGTGCTTTGGCACATGAAACATGTGTTTACTCTTCAACCCAACTTTGCTCTTCTAGAAAAGCATCTTAAAGAGCTAATTAAGGATCTGCACAAAGATTGACTCCTCCCTCACATCCATACAGCTCTCTTTCTCATCTCCTAAAGCATCACTACAAACAAAGCTAGTGGAGGTGATGGAATTCCAGTTGAGCTATTTCAAATCCTGAAAGATGATACTGTGAAAGTGCTGCACTCAACATGCCAGCAAATTTGGAAAACTCAGCAGTGGCCACAGGACTGGAAACGGTCGGTTTTCATTCCAGTCACAAAGAAAGGCAATGCCAAAGAACGCTCAAACTACCGCACAATTGCACTCATCTCACACGTTAGTAAAGTAATGCTCAAAATTCTCCAAGCCAGGCTTCAGCAGTACATGAACCGTGAACTTCCAGATGTTCAAGCTGGTTTTAGAAAAAGCAGAAGAACCAGAGATCAAATTGCCAACATCCACTGGATCATGGAAAAAGCAAGAGAGTTCCAGAAAAACATCTATTTCTGCTTGATTGACTATGCCAAAGCCTTTGAATGTGTGGATCACAATAAACTGTGGGAAGTTCTGAAAGAGATGGGAATACCAGACCACCTGACCTGCCTCTTGAGAAAACTGTATGCAAGTCAGGAAGCAACAGTTAGAACTGGACATGGAACAACAGACGAGTTCCAAATAGGAAAAGAGTACATCAAGGCTGTATATTGTCACCCTGCTTATTTAACTTATATGCAGAGTACATCATGAGACATGCTGGGCTGGAAGAAGCACAAGCTGGAATCAAGATTGCCAGGAGAAATATCAATAACCTCAGATATGCAGATGACACCACCCTTATGGCAGAAAGTGAAGAGGAACTAAAGAGCCTCTTGATGAAAGTGAAAGAGGAGAGTGAAAAAGTTGGCTTAAAGCTCAACATTCAGAAAACTAAGATCATGGCATCTGGTCCCATCACTTCATGGCAAATAGATGGGGAAACAGTGGAAACTGTCAGACTTTATTCTTGGGGGGCTCCAAAATCACTGCAGATGGTGATTGCAGCCATGAAATTAAAAGACACCTACTCCTTGGAAGGAAAGTTATGACCAACCTAGATAGCATATTAAAAAAGCAGAGACATTACTTTGCCAACGAAGGTCCGTCTAGTCAAGGCTATGGTTTTTCCAGTGGTCATGTGTGGATGTGAGAGTTGGATGGTGAAGAAAGCTGAGCACCGAAAAATTGATGGTTTTGAACTGTGGTGTTGGAGAAGACTCTTGAGAGTCCCTTGGACTGCAAGGAGATCCAACTCATCCATCCTAAAGGAGATCAGTCCTGGGTGTTCATTGGAAGGACTGATGCTGAAGCTGAAACTCCAATACTTTGACAACCTCATGCGAAGAGTTGACTCATTGGGAAAGACCATGATGCTGGGAGGGATTGGGGGCAGGAGGAGAAGGGGACAACAGAGGATGAGATGGCTGGATGGCATCACCGACTCGATGGACATGAGTTTGAGTAAACTCCGGGAGTTGGTGACGGACAGGGAGGCCTGGCGTGCTGTGATTCATGGTGTCGCAAAGAATCAGACATGACTGAGTGACTGAACTAAACTGAACTTAGGTCTGAACTCAGATGTCTTTTTCACAGTGAGGCCTGTCACCCAATCTAACATTGCAAGGACCCACATACTACTTATACCCCTCCCCTTCTGTATTTTTCTCCATGGCACCTGTCATATCATGTATTTTGTTTTTATCTAGCTTTTAATTTTCTTTTCCCACTGAAATGAGAGTCCTATGTATGGCCAGAGACAATCCTACATTTTATGGCTCCTGACACACAATTTGGGGGTTCTCCTTTAAAAAAAAAGTGTTTTCCAAAAAACTTCAAATTTTAAGAATCTGATAAGTAAAACAAATACTATAAAATCTAGAAAAATTATAATGCTGGTAAATTAAAGCTCAGTATTTGAACTGTTTTATTATTAGCTGGATTTCTAAAAGGTATTCCTAAAGGTAAGCATGGGAATAACTGATACATCTTTACTTTTTCTGTAGTTCAAAGATCCATCGACTCATTCATTATGTTTTGCAGATTACTAAAATACAGTTCACATACCATAACATGCATTCCAAGAGTGCAGTTCGGGAGTTTACAGCATAGTCAACAAGGTGTTCAAACATCACCACAATCAATCTAGAATATTTTTATTACCCAAGATAAGTCTGCACCATACTTTTCAGGTGATAGACCTGAAAGGTTGTTTCCTCTTTTCATTTGTTTGTTTGACTTTGTTTTTTGTGTTTTCTTGTTGAGATGAAATTTACCTTCTGCACAATTCACCTTTTCAAAGTGTGCAGTCCACTGGTTTCTAGTATATTCAAAAGCTGTGCAACTATCGCAACTAATTCCCAACCATTTTCATCACCCCAAATAACAAGCCCATGCCCATGAGCAGTCATTCCTCATTCCCTCTTCCCTCAGCCCCTGGCAACTACATATCTACATTGTTCCTACGGCTTCATTTATTCTGGATATTTCATACAGATAGAATTATATCATATATGGGCTTTTGTGACATTTTTCCCCACTTAACATGATGTTTTCAAGTTTTACCCATGTTGTAGCATTTGTTGATACTTCCTCTCTTTTTATGGCTGAAAAATATTCCATTTTATGGATAGACCACGTCATCCATTCATCAGTTAATAGACATTTGGATTGTTTCCACTTTGGAGCTATTATGAATAATGCCGCTATGAGCATTTGTATACAAGTTTTTGTGTGATATATGTTTTCATCTTTCTTGATATATGCCTAGTCGTGGATTTGCTGGGTCAGATGGTAACTCAATGTTTAACATCTTGAGGAACTTTCAAAATTCTCTATAGTGGCTACATCATTTTGCATTCCCACCAGCAATTTACAAGGGCTCTGACTGTATCCTATCCTTGTCAACACTTGTTACTGCCTGTCTTTTTGTTACTGCCTTTTTTTTTTTTTTTTTTTCTCAGCAGGCAGGAGTGACTTTTATTTGAAACCAGAAAACACCCTATTTGGGGGTTCATCTGTAACAGTTTAAAAAAAAGAAGAGAGAGAAACCAGAACCCAAAGGGCCTGGGGAGGGGAGGGGAAGGGTAGTGGGCCAAGGTCAGGCCACGTAGGGGAAGTGGAGCAGCAGCCCCTCATGAGGTTGTAGGTTCAGGTGCTCCAGCTCAAGGGAGGTGCCCTCCTCACGGCCTGGCTGGGTGCTGAGCAGCAGATCCACCTTGGCCGGCAGGCTGGTGCCGGTAGGCAGGCTGGAGCCCCCCAGCCTGGCCATTTGGCTCACATCCCCAAAGTTGAGCACTACGAGGAAACGCTCGTTCTGGTCCCACTGGCGGATGTAGGAGAAGAGGTCGGGCCCCGAGGAGAGATTGTAGAAGTCTCCGTGCAGCAGGGAGTGTTCCTTACCCCGCTGATCACTCAGTCGGCAGAACAGGAAAAGGAGGGAGTTAGGGTCCTCACTCTGGCCCTTCACAGTCATGCTGATGTTTATAGATGCTGAGTTGTTGGGAAAGCTGGATTCATCCCACAGCATGACCGGGGCCTTCATAGGCTGTCCAGGAAGGCCAGCTCCCTCCAGGCCAATCTCGTCTCCATAGCTGAACACTGGGGTCCCCAGCAGGGTGAAGAGCAGCAGCTGGTAGAGTCGGAGGAGTTGGGGCGACACAAAGGAAGTCAGGAGCCCCGCCTGAGACCCACTCCAGCTGCACCAGCGGCTGCCAAAGGCGCTCAGATACTCGGTGACCAGGAGACTTGTATGACCCCCAGTTAAGTTGGAGTGTGACAGGTAAGAGCTAGTCAACAACAGGTCCTTGGTGGGTTCGAGCAGGCTCAGGATCTGCTGAAGGTCGGAGGAGTCTGTGCCTGTAATCAAGAGCCGATCCTCACTGACGCTCTTAGTGATGTTCTGCCACTCAGCCAAGAATGAAGACGCATTTGTCAGATTCTGCACGTCCGGACCTGAAACCCGTCCACACCAGTCTCCAGCCAAAACTTCAGAGCTTCCTTCATTTTGGTGGCCACAGTGTCAATCTGAGTGGATTGAAACCAAGGGCTCTGGCCCTTGTAGTTGGGAGTGAGGTCCAGGATGACCTGGATGCCCTTCTTCTTCGCCGAGTGCAGGAGACTCTCAAAATCTTCCTGGGAGCCAAAAATGGGGTCGATCTGTTCCAAGTTGGTCTCTGTGAGGTCATCCTCCTGGTTCTTATGAATTGGGCCCAACACAAAACCCTTCACCTTCAGCGTGCTTAAGTAATCCAGCCGCTCCTTTAGGCCCGCTAGGTTGCCTGCATCATGGCCCAGGAAGGCCCGAAGGTCTCCAATGCGGTAGAGGGCGCCCTTGTGCCACCATCTCTGCTCCGGCAGCTCGCGGCAGCGAGGCGCCTGCACGATGATGACCACGGCGCCGGCCAGCATGCCCAGCCAGCCGAGCCAGAAGAGCAGCAGCAGCGCCCAGCGGGTGCGTACCCAGGCGGGGCTGCCCGCCACCTTCAGCAGCTCCTCTTTAGACAGGCCCGTGAACTTGGCCTCGGCCGCCGCGTCCGCTTCGTCGTCGGCCACCTTGATCTTCACCAGACCATTCTTCTCGGTGCCGCCCGCCACGACCACGGCCATCGCCGCCCCAGACGCCGCGTTCATCGGCTGCTTCTCGGGTTCCAGCTCGTTCAGTTCCACTTCCTTCATGTCCACCTCGGTGTCCTGGCTCATGGTGCCTGCGGAACGGAGACACGACGCGGTCTGCGGTCAGCTAGTAGCTGGACACCTGCCCGGATCTCCTGGCCCCAGAACAGACTCCCAGGCTTCCGTGTCTCCCCTTAGGTTCCCCAACCGAGTCTCTAGTGTAGTGGGTGTGAAATGAAAGCTCATACCGGTTTTCGATTTCCATTTCCCTGATATCTAGTGATGTTGAGCATCTTTTCATGTGCTCATTGGCCATTTGCACATCTTTGGAGAAATACCTATTCAGAAGCTTTGTCCATTTCTCAACTGGATTGTCATTTTACTATTGAAGTGGGATGGGAAGTCAGTGGAGCAGAGGGATAACTTGATCTGATTTACATTTTACAAGTTGACTCTTACGGCTCTGTTGAAACTAGTCTGAAGTGGGGTGCTGCTGCTGCTGCTGCTGCTAAGTCACTTCAGCCGTGTCCGACTCTGTGCGACCCCACAGATGTCAGCCCCCCAGGCTCCCCCGTCCCTGGGATTCTCCAGGCAATAACACTGGAGTGGGTGCCATTTCCTTCTCCAATGCATACAAGTGAAAAGTGAAAGGGAAGACGCTCAGTCGTGTCTGACTCTTCGCGACCCCGTGGACTGCAGCCTACCAGACTCCTCCGTCCATGGGAGTTTCCAGGCAAGAGCACTGGAGTGGGGTGCCATTGCCTTCTCCGGAAGTGGGGTGGGGAAGCGCAAAAGCAGGGAGACCAGTTAGGAGGCCAGAGCAATAACCTAAATAAGACCATAGTGACTTGAACCATTGGTAGCAGCAAGAATATAAGACATGTTTTGATGCAGGAGACATTTTGAAGATAGAAACAATATGATTCCCTGATGGAGTACCTGGGAGATGTGCAGTAATGAGATGTTTTGAAATACTCTAGGTCTTTTGTTCTGGAGAACCAGGAATAATAGGAGGCGTCAGGAGCTTTGATTCTAGACATGCTAAGTTTGAGATGCCTGTTAAGCATCCAAGTAGAGAGATGATATTGGCAGTCAGATACACAGTTCTGGGATTTAGTGAAGTCTGGGCTAGAGATTAACACGCATGAGTCAGCTGCTTAGAAAAGTAACTAAAGCCAGGAAATAGCATGAGATCATCAAATCTTATACAGAATCAAAAATATTTTTGTTGAACAAATGATGTTTACCATTTACATATGATTTACATATATAGGTGTTATAAAAGCAGCTAGCACTAGCAACCTGCTCTAGTATTCTTGCCTGGGAAATCCCATGGACAGAGGAGACTAGTGGCCTATAGTCTCTGGGGTTGCAAAGAGTCAGACACGACTTAGTGACTAAACAATAAAGGAAACATACATTCCACATTAGATTTGTAGGAAGTGTATTAACCCTGTAGCTACTTATGCCTCTAATTAGCTTTCATAAATATGTTTTATGTGACATCTCACATTCATCCGTCCAAGATGTGTCCAAAACGTCCCATCTTCACACAGCCTGTGTATCTGTCCTATAATCTCAATTTCCCCTTGTTGATAAGCTACAGAAAAAGAGCAGATAAATATTGATGTTAGTGTTTAGGGGGACCCTTGGTCTCAGAGCCTCTAGCTAAATGGCCTCAGAATGACAGAAAACGTCCGTAAAATGGGACACAGGCCCAAGCAAAGTGAGTAGACTACAGAGGTGCTCAATAGCGCTCTGTGGGGACATGGGCTATAGGGCATCTGCTTAGGGACCAGTGAGATCCCATGACAAATACTAAGTGTGGTACCTTGAGTGAATCAAGCATCCAATTAAAACCTGTGCTTAAAGTTCACTTGACTCCTTTTCATCAGCTGCAAGTGGATTTAACAAGAGCATCACCAAGAAACCTCAAATGGTTATGCTGCAGCAATGATAGCTAGAAGTGCTGGAGAATTCTGGATTGATCAGCAGAACAAGCATAGTTTTGGGGGCAGGGCTGTAAAAATCATGAAATTTTACAGAATGTGGTAACAAAATTTGTTTTTCAACTGCAGAAGACATTAAAGTTTTGAGACAGAAGCATAGATATACCTTTATGCTTTAAGTTATTAAATGAAATAATTATCCAGCTAAGATTGAATTGATAATCTTATTACTTAATTATTCTGAGGACAGAAAGGGAATGAGCAACTTTTAGTTTAATAGTATCTAGTAATTAATTTTTGGAAGTATACAAAACAGCTCTAACTATTCAATTTTAATAGATAAGTCAACAGTAGCTCATCACTTGTTGAATCCAGGTCTCCCAGCACTGCAGGCGAATTTTTTACAGCTGAGCTACCAGGGAAGTGGTCATCTATTAATTTTGCACTGGGCCTCATAACTACAGGGAGATGAATTGAAAATTATTTTCTACCAAGTTACACTTTTTTCTAAATGTGGGGAAAGGCTTGAAATTTAAATGTAACTTTTGTTTGTTTTAAAAAACAAAGAGGTGTTTTCTACTTCTGCAAAAACAAAGAAAAGATGAAACTTGACTGATAACCTAAATAGAGATTTTTGAGAGCCATTGTAGGAAGAAAAGAAATTACCAATTATAATTACTGGATACTGGATAAAACATTTTTATTTACATTTAACTGACAAAAAAATAATAGGCAGGCATTAAAAAAAAAAACTCAAGACAGAAGATACTATGTTTAAATAGCAGGTACATGATTTCTCCAGATACATCACTTCTCAGTCCCAGAGGAGGTCTCTCAATGAACCCACCATGTTTTTTTGAATGAAGATGCATGTGTTCAACCCCTTGAACCAGATAGGCTTCCTTGGGAACTGTTTTTCTCTTATGGGCATTTTACAGTTATATTGGTATTACCCAATTTCTATTAAGAATTTAATTTTATGCTTAGTTTGACAATGCAATGAAATAGCTAGCTCAGTTTTTTTATAATCTAACTGCTTCAATCCATCTTGAAAACACCAGATCATCCGCAAATGCTTTGTGTATAAGGGGGACACATTACTCCTTAAGTGGTACTTAAAAATGTGTGCATTCTTCAAAGACAGAAACATAGATCAATGGAACAAAATAGAAAGCCCAGAGATAAATCCACGCAACCATGGACACCTTATCTTTGACAAAGGAGGCAAGAATATACAATGGAGAAAAGACAATCTCTTTAACAAGTGGTGCTGGGAAAACTGGTCAACCACTTATAAAAGAATGAAACTAGAACACTTTCTAACACCATACACAAAAATAAACTCAAAATGGATTAAAGATCTAAATGTAAGACCAGAAACTATAAAACTCCTTTTGAAAACATAGGCAAAACACTCTCCAACATAAACCACAGCAGGATCCTCTATGACCCACCTCCCAGAATATTGGAAATAAAAGAAAAAAATAAACAAATGGGACCTAATTAAAATTAAAAGCTTCTGCGCAACAAAGCAAACTATAAGCAAAGTGAAAAGACAACCTTCAGAATGGGAGAAAATAATAGCAAATGAAGCAACAGACAAAGAATTAATCTCAAAAATATACAAGCAACTCCTGCAGCTCAATTCCAGAAAAATAAAAGACCCAATCAAAAAGTGGACCAAAGAACTAAACAGACATTACTCCAAAGAAGACATACAGATGGCTAACAAACACATGAAAAAATGCTCAACATCACTCATTATCAGAGAAATGAAAATTAAAACCTCAATGAGGTATCATTACACACTAGTCAGAATGGCTGCTATCCAAAAGTCTACAAGCAATAAATGCTGGAGAGGGTGTGGAGAAAAGGGAACCCTCTTACACTGTTGGTGGAAATGCAAGCTAATACAGCCACTATGGAGAACAGTGTGGAGATTCCTTAAAAAAACTGGAAATAGACCTGCCATATGACCCAGCAATACCACTGCTGGGCATACACACCAAGGAAACCAGAATTGAAAGAGAACATTGTGTACCCCAATGCTCATTGCAGCACTGTTTATAATAGCCAGGACATGGAAGCAACCTAGATGCCCATCAGCAGACGAATGGATAAGGAAGCTGTGGTACATATACACCATGGAATATTACTCAGCCATTAAAAAGAATTCATTTGAATCAGTTCTAATGAGATGGATGAAACTGGAGCCCATTATACAGAGTGAAGTAAGCCAGAAAGAAAAACACCAATACAGTATACTAATGCATATATATGGAATTTAGAAAGATGGTAACGATAACCCTGTATGCGAGACAGCAAGAGAGACACAGATGTATTGAACAGTCTTTTGGACTCTGTGGGAGAGGGCGAGGGTGGGATGATATGGGAGAATGGCACTGGAACATGTAAATTATCATATGTGACACGAATCGCCAGTCCAGGTTTGATGCATGAGACAGGATACTCAGGGCTGGTGTACCTGGGATAACCCAGAGGGATGGGATGGGGAGGGAGGTGGAGGGGTGTTCAGGATGGGGGACACATGTACACCCGTGGCAGATTCAAGTCAATGTATGGCAAAACCAATACAATTTTGTAAAGTAAAATAAATAAATACTTTAAATTAAAAAAAAATGTGTGCATTCTTTTCTGTAGTGCACAAAACAACTCTTTAGAATACATACAGCACTATTTTCAAGCATTGACTTTTTCTCTCTTTTTCAATACAGCAAATTCCTGATTAACCATGCCCCACACACCCAGCTCCAGCCCTGGAGTGTTAGCAAAGCTGTAACTAGGAACTGGAGCTCTCCCAGTTACACACATTCCTGAATAAATATAGGAACTACAATAAATATAAGTTCAAAACTAGTCAAATTCTCCAAATTTGATTAAGATTACCCAAACAAAAACACCTGGAAAAGAAATCTGCTGGTCTCCTGTCCAAATATAATGCATCCCACAGTAGTAATACAATATAAGAATTTTAGTTTTATAATGTACATACAAGTGTTTGTTCAACTGTAAATGACAAGGTTTATTTTAAAGGAAATCATCCTCTGGCAACCCTGCTGGAGGAAAGAAAATAAGAGAGAAACAGATTCATCCTCATCATATGTATGTAGCTGAATTCTAAAGCAGTCTTGGGGATTTTTCACATCAAGTTTGGGGTCACGTGTCAGAGCTCTACTCCAGGAGCGTGGCCACATGAAAGCAGATTGCAACGCATGAGTCATTATACACTGGGATTTTTGCAAATAAGGTACTTCATGAGGCAGAATGCCAAAAAGAACATTTAAACACACAACTTATACTCATCTACAGAAATAATGATTTCCCAGTTGTGAGTTAATTACAATACTTGGAAAATGCTAAAATCCTCATAAATATTTTGGGTAAATTATGGTGCAAAATTTGAATTTTGCAAACTTTGAAAAGACACATTTTCGTAGCATCTCCCAAGCATTTCTGAGAGCCTAAAGCTATTAACTTCATGGAAACTTTTCAACCTCTAGAAGATTCTTCATCAAGAAGATACCCCAGAGGCAGATTTCCAGGGGACCATAAGGAAAATCTGTGGGTTCCTAAGTGGAGGAAAAGAAACAACTATGAAGTGTGGGCCAACTGAGAACTCACCCTGAGGAAGGGATGATGTGTGATGGGGTGGCTCAAAATATTCCATCCTTCTATAAACTGCTGGAGTACTTTCTTCACTTTACTTTGAAACATTACCATCTCTGCGAATGGGCTCCAAGACACGCCCTTGTAACAATGCAGTTGCAGCCTTACGTGGTAACTGCACTGGGCAGGCATGGATGTGTTCCAGAAGTCAGGAAAATAATCACCATCCTTCATTCTTTCTAGGGAAGAGCATGAGCAGGCTACTTTCTCCTTACACATCCCAAGGTATCAGCACTACTAAGAAAACTGATTGGTAGGAGTAGAATGGTGGGTGACTTTGGAATATGAAGAACCTTGGGATATAGGGCTGACTAGAAGGATGCCTCCGAGCCAGGAGACAAGGCCAGCAAACATCACAGGTTTAATGGACCCCAAGGGAATTAGGGGATGGAGAAGGCTGCAAAAGTCAAAGTGAGAAAGACCTTGTTCTTAGGAAAGGAAGTGGAAATTCACACTTCCTTTCCTTCAAACTGCTCACACTGAAGCAGGAGATAGATGGGCCCCAAACTGAACAATCTCTCCCCTGTGGACAGAAACTCCATAATAGCAGAAGCTCCATAAAAGCAGGATGAAGAAGCAGGCTGGGCCCTGCCCAGACAAGAGATAAAAAGACCACATACTTCTCACTCTTGAAGCGAAGGACACCTCCCTGACTACACATGCACAGAAAGACTCCTTGGAGGTCAAAGAGGGAAGGGGCATCACCTCATAGGAAGTGATGATGCCTCTTCACTGGAATCCATCTCGACTAAGAAATGAGCACACACACATGGGAGGACCCTGAGACATATCAAACATGGATGAAAGAACCAGGCAAATCAAATGGATTGGCCACAGGAAAACTGGCAGAAGTGCCCCATTGATTCAAACCACCACGAGGGCATGACCCTCTGAGCCCACCTGTGTGTCTATTCACACTACTGGACTCTTTTTCCTTCCTAATAAACACTTGGTTTCACTACTTTCTATCTTTGTGGGAATTGTTTTTCTAAAAGCCAAAGGGCCAAGGCCTTGTCACCGAGCACTAGTGTAGTGACTAGGATTCTGTGTTCTCCACCTCCACAACCTGACCTCAATCTCTGGCCAGGAACCAAAGCCCTGCTTCAAGCTGCTGCAGACCAAGGCCACTCGAGATCAACACGACCCCACTGCCAAGACCCAAAACTCAGCCAGGTACCTTGAGTATTAAAGGTCAGCTATGTTAGGGTTTGGCATTCCTAATATTGTTTCTGTGGGAAAAGCATTTCAAAATGTAAGCCAGTTGTTTGGAACATGATAGAAAATTTCTTCATAAGACTATTCACTTCTGGGCAATTATTTATGTTCATTCTCAGTTTTGGAATATAATTAATGTGCTTTGAATTTCCAAAACATATTGTAATATATAAAGGGGGGAAATGAACTTTTTATAAGGATGAAAAAAGTGCCAAAGATTTGGTTTACCAAGATGAAACTTTTATACTATACATTCATATCAAGCAATACTTCTTACTGACATTTATTTCTTAAATAATACTGATGTTTATTACTTAAATGACACTTAGGTGTTGCAGAATAAATGCCTCTGTTTAGCAAATCCAATAACCTATCACCTCAATAAACCATTCAATTAGTAGGGAATAACTACAAATACTCTACATCGAAGGACTTTGTATCATCCTGGAAATATAATCAAGAAGCAATGCTTGAAGACTACACATTAAGCTACACTGATTATTTAAAAGTGTATAAGCAACAAAGGAACTTTTGCAAAATGTAGTATTAACAGTATCTCCATCTTAGGAAAAGAAAAGCTATTACAAGCCAACTTCACACCCAAAATGTACCTTACAACTTATTGCTATTATTCTAATGCAGGACAGATTATTGCTTAAAACTGCACATTTCAGAACACCAAGAAATTTTCATTTTTTGGTTACCATTTATGAAAATCAACATCAGAATAAAGACTGTTAGTTAAACTTTTGTGTTAAAAGTGAAGTTTATTACAATACAGTAAGTGCAAGTGTTATTAAAAATGCTGGTTAAAATCATAAAGTGTCTATACAATTTTTCTAGTATAAATATTGGAAATAACAACTTTAACAATTCTATAAGTACACAGTACATTGAAAACATAAAATCACATACAAGGCTAAATATCACTGCACATTATCATTTTAGGTATCATTTTTCTGATCCCAGCATCATTCCAGAATACAAAGGGGTTACAAACGTCAAGGTTTCAGTGTTTTGAATGTATGTCAGTTATCACACATTAATAATGCTTTAAAATCATTGCTTATAGTCTAATCAAGTGGTTCTAGTTCCAATAATTCCTTTTCTCGATAGGTCTTGGACAAAAAGTTGAGCTAGAAAAGCTGTGATTACAAAACCGAGGATGACATTAATTCTCAATGATTCATTTAAAACTGGCATAAAGTGTTATTAAAAGTCCTATAGGACATGGAAGACAATAAGTACATCACATGTAAATAAAATTAAGCAGCTCACCCTCTGCTTGCTTACTTGGCTCCATGTCTCTGTAGAAAGGAGAAGCTGAGCCATAAAGAAGTGCGGGGCCAATCAGAACTGCTGGGAGTGTGTGTTTTTGGGGGGTTAGGGGGACTGGGGAAGGTGGGTGGGGAACAGCACAGGGAAAGACGTGGGGACAAATGTCAGACTATAAAGGGAAATTAAACAGTATTACTTGTCCACTCCTCCCCGCCCTGCTGAAGCAGGGGACAGTTCCAGTCCAGCCTCCACCCACTGTCTCCCAGGAGGGGCTCTGTTCCCCTCCACCATGAAGACAGCATCTGCTTTTCAGACAATGTGAAGCCACGGCTGTTCACTACTGAGAACACTTCCCAAACCTGAGGAACAGCCTATAAACTATGGGTTTGGACACTGCACAAACCAAGGAGAATCTGAACTAGGCCTCAACATGAGCAGAAGGGGAAACAGCCTTTTACAAGCAGCTAATGCCCACTCAGGCTAAGTGGTTCAGCCAAGGGGACAGCAATGCTTATTTCTTCATGAACATGCTTCTCAGACTTTCATGTGCATAGGATTCACTTGGGAGCTCACCAAAGTGAGCTGGGTTGGGGGTAGGGCCACAGGTTCTGCATTTGTAGTTAAGCTACTATGGACCACACTTTGAGATGCTGATGCTCCTAGCCTATGGACCATACTTTGAGAAGCAAGAGTCTGCAACACAAAGATGGGGCCACAAGTATATGCTGGAAGTCCTGAGGAGAGCTGAGATAACCCCAGTGTTATAAACCCACCCAAACACATCCCTGGGCTACAGGTGGAGACGTGGCACAGAGTGGGCAAATGTATGTTGACGTATTTTCTGACAGCACCATACTATGACTATATGAACAGCTGAACAACATAACTCAACTTGACTGAATGGAGAAGTCTACTGGTTGGGAATAAAACTAACCTTTTCCCCTTGTAGTCCTCCTTAAAGTGAACATGATTACAAAGGTATAAAAAACCAGCGTATTAAATTTCATAGTAAAAGGCCACATGTGCACACACATACATACAGCATGAATGCTAAGAAATTAAATGCATTTTATCAGGATAAAGCAGGGGCTACCACTGCTCCCAGCTAAAATCATCTCCTCTTCCAAATACAAGGAAGAAACCTTGAATTGTAAGGAAAATCACTGCATTGCCTGCCAGCACCAGGCCACAGGCTCCCCATTTGATCTGAAACACAAGAGGATTAAAAAGAGGATTAAATCTTTACTTTATACTGTACTCTTTGCAAATATGTTATTTTCTGTGTCAGAAACATCCAATGAAATACTAAATAAAACTGCTAAAAGGCTTAACGATGTAATAGGCAGGAGACAGTGAACAGTTCAGTAATTAGTCTAATCATTTCGTGACGCTTGTTAATTACGTCTGGTATCATCCTTAACATTTTCCCCATTAGACATACTTCTCTACTTGTTTTCATGAGACAATGACTGCCTTCAGTAAAATACACAAAGCAAGATTAGAAAGGGTCCAATTACAATACTGGTTACTGGAAGTCCTGGATATATTGCCTTTTTTCATGAAGATAGGAATTGGATAGTTACAGATTGATTTGTTTCTTTTCCAGGCAAAAGATTTTAAATAATACTCTGGATGCAACTAAAAAGAGCTTTCCAGCGTGGCAGATGGTTTTCCAGAGGCACAGTTGGGGATGAGAGTACCCTCTAGTGGGCATATTTTGTTTTAACAAGCGGAGAACATCTGAACATTTTTTCACAAAACATGATGCAGTATTTGAAAGGTAAAAATAGAAATCCTTACAGCAAAATTTAAGAAGTACTAGTCTAAGGCACAAGAGGGATACGATCATGACAATCTTACATTGAAAAACTTTCCGTGCTTCTGTTATCTCAACAGAGTTCAGACTGGCCTGGCCTTCCAGACCTTCCCCAGTCAGGCTTCCCCAGCCTTTCTAGCCTCAATCTCAACCACTCCCTTTTTGCTCCATCATACTGGACTACTCTTTAGTCCATACATTTCATTTTTGCATTTGAGTACCATTCCATACGATTGTCTTTTCTACTTTAATCAAAATAGTATTTATCCATAGAAGCCACATCAAATAACCAGATGTAATTTCTCTCTTCTTGGTGCTCCTATGGCAATCCAATCGTTTTAATGACCACATATAGTACACTTACACTATACTTACTCATCAGGCTAGTTTCTGTTCTCTTTTGAGAACAGTGAGAGAAAAGTTCTCAAAAGAGAACTGTCTCTTTTGAGACAGTATCTGGATCTTATTCCGAGTGTCCTACAAACAGCATATGCTGTTTACTATATGACTAAATAGCACTTGTGTAGGTCTGATATTCAGTGTCCCAAATAAGAGTCTCATGAAATTGAAACAGTATGTAATTGGGGGAAATAAAAGCAAATAGTTTGGAAGACAGTGAATGTCAAAGAACTAGATAAATTATACCCATAATGTATATTTTGGAGATAAAAACTTTATATTGGATACTGATTAAATAAAGTGCATACTTTATGGCAAGACAAGAAAAAATTAAACATGAAATTTTCTCTTCTTGTTCAGGCCTCCTCCCTCCCCTTTGTGTACTGTACATCTGTATTAACCAGACCTCCTTAGGAGATAACATTGCTTCTTAACATTCCTTCCTAATCTCATAAAGGCTCATAACTGCTTAGGAGAGAATCTTCTTTCTTAATGATGTAGGGGGCCACAGTGACCTACGACCCACTGATCACTCTATACATGCCAATCTGGATTGTGTGAATGGTCAATAGTATGTCACTTGACATATAACCATTTGTCTCTAAAACTTATGTAACTGTGGTTTATCTCTTACAGGAGCAACAGTCATCTCCTGGGGTAGGATCCTCAGGTTGGGGCAAATAAAATTTTCCATTTCTTTGATTGATTGATTGAGTGAGTGAGTGAGTGAGTCATTAATTTTCTCATTGACAATATGAAGATGTCATATGACTTACTGTATCTTCCAGTAGCTATATAGTTTTCCCTCAATATGTAACTATTGTGTTGAGAATTATGTCCACGATCCTATTTGCAAGAGAAGAATTGGGTATGATGTTGTGATTTATATTAAGAAATATATATTTGATCAGTCCCTATTTTCTGCATAGAGCTTCTAAAATCCTTGAAACTTTGTAAGTGATGAGAGTGATTATCTTTACGGTGGAAAGCTCTGATTTATAGCCAGTCAGTCAGAAGCATGGGTAACAACCTGGACTTGTGATTGTTATCTGAAGAGGGAGGTAGTCTTGTGGGACTGAGCCCTGAAACAGCAGAATCTGCTGCTGTCTCTAGGCAGATGGAATCAGACTTGAACTGAATTGTAGGATACTCACCTGGTGTGGAAGAATTGCTCCTTAAGGGTGTAGGGAACAACCCCCCCACCACCACACACACACACACACACACTGGAATTAAGTGACCAGGACCCCTTTTGATGTTTATTTTGGAACTAGAAAAGTATTGCTTGAGTCTCTGGATTGCCCTACAATAAGAAGCGAGGATTTCAGAATAATTCCAGAAAATAGCTTACAACAGAAAAAGCAAGAAATCACTTGGTCTGGCTAAAAGTTGCAAGAGGAATAAAGAAAGCATTCTGAAAGTATGTGCAAGATACTGATAGGTAGATCTAAATCAGGGGAATACAGAAACTAAAAATATATCTGGCTTTGAGTATTAAGTCTAAGCAGTGGAAATGAAACTGCGGTTCCAGACACAGGCCTTTGAAGTAACCTCGGCGATAGCTGGGCAAAACAATAGACAACAAGACTTACCACAGACACACGAGCAAGAATGACAGGAAATCCAAAGGCAGAAACAACAATTCCTGTAGTGAAAAAATAAGCCAGCTCCCGACAGGCACTACTTGTTGCATCGGAGTCATATGTTGCTCGTTTGGCAATGAAATGGGGGATGGGAGAGATGGCGTGGAAAATCAGGACAAACAAGGGCCAGTAAACACTGTTGGTCGGACCCAGGAGAAATCCAAAAGGAAAAGTTAGTTACATCATAATTAAAGATACACTACTGTTTCAAAGTTTATATTATTTTAAATGTCTAGGTCAACATTTATTCAGTTGTCAACATTAGTGCATGAGATGATTATTTTCCAGGAACATCTGAGTAGTAGTGATGATTTAAAATTACTAGTACATTAATATGCAAACAGCTTATACTGTGTTAAGAAACAATGACACAATGTAAAATCTAGAATCTTTAAGGTTTTCTGGATTACTGAGCTGTAGTTTCTTTAGGGACAGAATCCTAACTTAGTCATCTTTGCTTTCCATATAGAACATAGTACAGTGCCTTGCACATGTTCATTCAATAGAAATTATCTGAGTGTGCGCAGGTTGGAAACCTTTCAATTTCTTGGAGTACAACTCAAGATTCCTTGCCCTGGCCTACAAAGCCTCACATGACCTGGCCAACTTCTTCCATTCATTCCGTGCCATCTTCCCTCATTCGCTTCATCTGTAGCCACATTAGTTTTTCTATTTCTCAAATACTCCTGCCCGGAATGCCCTCTCCTGACTCATCGACCTGATAAACTTATTTATCCACAAAGTCTCGGGTTCAGGACAACCTCGTCTATGCAGTCCTCCCTGACTTTCTCGAAGTTCTCACTGCACTTCGTAACATCTCTCCTGACTGGGCTGTCTGCCTGTCTCCCACTCATAACTAGAACTGCAAGCTCCCTGAGGACAGGACTGCATCTCCTCATTCTTGTATCCCCAGCTGGTCCAGAGGAAGTCTTCTATAAATTCTCATTAAATGAACACATCAATTTTGAAAAGAGCTTTTCTCTGCACAAATACAACTAACTAAGGGACTGGGTTTATAACTTGGGCTTTATTAATTCATTCATTAGAGCTTGGTGCTAAATTGACCAAACCCTCTAACACCCATACTAATAGTGACAAAGACTTAAAAAGAATAGTTCTTTCTGAAATAACTTACCCATAATCCTCTAAGGCACATCCCAGCATCAGAAAAGTCAGCCCAATAGCCCCACTGAAAGATAATGCCACAAGAGCTGTGAAAAATAAAATCAAGAGTTATAGGTTCCAATGGTTATCAGGGACTGGGGGAGGGGGGAGAGGAATGGAGAAGGATTCTTCTGGGATGGATGAAATGTCCTGGAATTAGAACATAGTAATGGTTGTACAACTTTGTGTATATATTAAAAACCACTTTAAGAATTTTTAGAGTGTGAAGAATTTTACACTTTAAAAAGGCTAATTTTTGATATGTGAATTATACCTCAATTTGAAATTTTTTAACAAAAAAATGCTTATTTCATTGAAAGAGATTTACTTATTTCATTGGTTGATGTTACACTGACTAGCAAATGACAGTGTATGTCTGTTACTCTTAAATCTTTAGGTGGAGAAAGAGCTCAAGTTTTTCCAGTACTCAGCCCCTGTCTAATGTATGAATTCCCTAACACCCATTCTAAGAGGCCAGCCAGCCAGTTGATATAATACCAGTGAAGGGAAACCCACTATCTCCTGAGGCAGATTATTTCATTTTGACAGTTTTCAGATGCTGAAAACCCTCTATCCTTAAACTGTACCCGAAACTGTCTCCCTGTAATATACACCCTTTGATCATTGTGCCTCCCCATACCACAGGGCTTCAAGTATTTGAAGATTACTTTTGTGTCTTCATAGAAAATGCTTCCCAACTAGTCTCCCCTGAATATCGATTCCCTGCATCTGTTGGACACTAATCTTTGAGGAGGTGGAAATGTGTTTGCTTTGTTCACTGCTGAGTGAGAGAATAACAGAGTTGTTTAAAAAATCTTGCACTGCTCCGGGTCACCAACATGGGTTCATGTTGGTAAATCTGTCACTGACTGGTTGTGTGACTGTGGTAGAAGCTGAACCTCCTTAAACCAGATTATTCAGCTGTAAAATGGGAATAATAAGGCAAACTTATTAAGGAGTTTATGGGACTCAAATGAGATAATCTATAAGTGATTGGCAAAGGCAGGCACTCAGTAAGCAAATACTGATGTATCTGCTCATTTCAGCAACGGTCTTCAGTAAAGGTATCAATCACAAGCAGAGGATACTTAGTTATCCGAATACTCCTCTGGAAAAAAATCCATAATACTCAAAATTAGTCATTAGGTAAACCAACTAACATTTTGATTGCTTCCTTTTACTTTAAGAGGCAATCTGGAAAAAAAAAAAAGGCAATCTGCGGAGACTTTTATAGGAATTTTTTAAATTCCTAGGTGATTTTTAAAAACATCCGGGAGTATACAGATGTTAGAGGACAAGGAAGGACTGTCAGTTTTATATATTTTTCCATTTAGTACATGTCACTTTTGGGGGGAAAAAAATGGACAAAAGTAACCTTCCCATATTGTTTCACTACAGATGATCTTTTCCTCATTAGTTCTATCCCCTGCCTGTGCCTAACCACCTGCACCACTCTGTCCTACAGGAGACCATTCATAGACCTCTTCTTCTGTTCTGGGACACCAATCACTCAAAGTTCACAACTGTATCTCCAATTGATGCTCTTAACCTCCTTTTTCTTTTTTAGGAATTGCATCCTCGGCCATCTCTTAAACTTGGAGCTAACCAGAAATCCAAATTCATCTCTCTTATCACTCCCCACTCTTGCTGGGACACTGCATTCAACACAAAACTCCCTGGTACCACAAGGACCCAGCTACATCAAATGCTGCAGTTTGAAGTAACTCCTAAGAACTCGGCCTGCACCTCCAACTCCAATCTGGACTTCTCTGGGTAGTCAACATAGAACTCAACTTCAACATGTGTAAAACTGAAATGTCTCCCCTTCTCCTCCCAAACACACACTTCTTCCTTTCCAAGGTTCTATCCTGAAAGACCAATACAAGCCCTACACTCCATTATCTAGAAAATCAGTAAGTCAGGGTGACTCAATCTCCCAGACCTCACTCAAACCCACTGCAAAAGACTAGGTGACTATGTCCCCACCCCCCAAATTAATATATTAAATTTTAACATCCAGGGAGATGGTGGTAGGAGGTGATTAGGTCATGGCAGGATTAGGACCCTTATAAAGGGACTCCACAGAGATTCTTAACCCCTTCTGTTGTGTGGGGACACAGCGAAAAGATACCTGTCTAGGAACCAGGAAGCAAGCCTTCACCAGACAGCAAATCTGCTGGCACCTTGATTGTGGAGATCTCAGCCTCTCGAACTAAGAAACAAATGTTATTTAAGCCACCCAGCTTATGGTATTTTTGCCCTAGCAGCCTTAAAGGACTAACACAATCACCTCTTCTCTGGTGCCCTTAGTTACTTATCATCTGTGTGCAGACCCTTATCATCTCAGGCCTGCCTTCACCTCATGACTCTTCCCATCTATCCTCCACACAGCAGACAGTGACCTCTCAGATATACAAAGCTGGTGTCACCCCTTCAGTTGCTTTCACAGTCTATGAGCTGTTCTAGCACTGGAGGTGCACCTCTGCCCGGTGTCACATGTTCTCTCCATTAGAATAAACTCTGCCCTCACCCCAGTCCTTTGCCAGGTGAAGTCTTATTGATCCTTTTAGATTCAGAGCAAGGAATGCCTCTTTTGGGAAACTGGTCCTCTTCCTCCCTGGAGCAGGGTTCAGTAATGCCATCTGTATTAGTTTCCTAGGCCTGCTATTAAAAATGCATCACAAACTGGGTGGCTTAGAAGAACAGAAATTTACTCTCTCATATCTAGAAAAGACATCTGCTCCCTCTGAAGACTCTAAGGGAAGACTCCTTCCTTGCCTCTTAACTACTGGCAGTTGACTGCCATCTTTGCTGCTCTCTAGCTTACAGTTGCATCATTCCAAGTTCTGCCTCTGTCCTCCTATGGTGTTCTTCCTATATGTATCCATGTCTAAATTTCCCTTTTCTTACAAGGACACTAGTCATTGGGTTAGAGTCCAACTAATCCCATATCATCCTAACTTGATTATATCTGCAAAGACCCTATTTCCAAATAAGGTCAAATTCACACATACTGGGGAGTTGGAACTTGAATGTATTTATTTGGGGGATACAGTCAGCTTGCAATACCATCTTTGTCCTCACACTGTATCTGAGCACACCTTAGACATTTAAACAGTAGCACAATTATTTCCAGCCCTTTCACACAATAACTGCTCATTTAACCTTTTATGCCAAGCCTCAGGCACACAGCAGTCCTTCTTTAAAAGTTAAATTATCTGCAAAAAGCTTCCTTCGTCCTTTTCCATTTCATAACCTATCTTCTTTTTTTTACTATAATGCAATTTCTAACACATTCACACATAAACATTATTATTTGATAGTTTCCAGACACGACTAAACACAGCGCAGTGGTGCTACTTCTTATTGGTTTTCTGCACTGGCCTCAAATGGAATATTACAAAATGGACACTATCCAAGTAAATCATGTTTACTAAATTAATGCTGACTATTAAAGTCCTCCATAAATAATTTTAAAATATGTCTGCTAACAGTTTACACACTCAGATAAATTTCATAGCAAACACATGCATGTGTACAAATATACCCGTATGCATGTTTACAGCATATGTTGATTAACTAGAGAGGGAAGATCTTTGTGTACAAATTTCAAGGACAGGAGCTCCAACACGGAAACAAGTTATCCTACTCTATTCAAAAGATTAGACATCTAATGGGGTGGGTCCTACCAAACCAACAGGAAGCCTTCCAATAATCTCTCCGACTGCTTGGCGTTCCCCTTCACTCTGAAGGTGCACAGATGAGGGAACTGGTGTTCTTGGTATCCCCCGCTTTTTAAAATCAATTGTTCCATGCAAAAACACTGCACAAAGTGAAGTTGCTCAGACGTGTCCGACTCTTTGCAATCCCATGGACTGTAGCCTACCAGGCTTCTCCGTCCATGGAATTTTCCAGACAAGAGTACTGGAGTGGGTTGCCATTTCCTTCTCCAGAGGATCTTCGCGACCCAGGGATCGAACCCAGGTCTCACACATTGCAGGCAGACAGTTTACCGGCTGAGCCAGCCACCAGGGAAGCCCCATTGCACAAAGACCTACTGTATAGCATAGGGATCTCTATTCAGTATTTTGTAATAAACTATAAGGGAAGAGAATACATGTGTGTGTGTCTGAACAGTTGTGCTGTACACCTGAAATTAACACGATGCTGGAAATAAACTACATTTGCATTTTTTCAACTACTATACAAACACCACCTTCCTATCTGTCCACAAATGAATAAACACTGATGAAAGTAACGGTAAAATCCCACCTAATCGACTCTCTACAGTTAAGACAAATATAGCATTTCAGGGTGCTTTTCGCTGACACCCGCCTGCAGCCAACTCTGCCCAATTGTTACACGACAGATGGTAAGTGTTCTAATGCCGAGAACATTGGAGACAATGGCTTGTCTGGAAAAAGTGGGAAACTCGGCAAAGTGGCAGGAAAAGCGGGGAGAGGCATTAGGGTGAACATGACGGGAAGTCAAAGCCCAGTTTAAACCTAGGCAGAGGAGGAGGTGGGAACTGCTTCCCGAGGAACTGGGAAGCAATCCGGAAGGTGAGCCCCATCCGGGCTAGCCGGTGATTCCCGGGGAAGGAATGCTCCCGGAGAGGGCTTCGCCTGCAGCGACCCGGACACGCCTGGCGAAAGAGTGAAGACTAGTAGCCTTGCAGAGAAAGGTTGAGGTTCCCCCAAACACGCCTCCACCCGCACCCCAAGGAGCGAAGAGAGCAGGCGAACTCCTTCCCACCGGGAAAGGAGGGGACGATGGCACGTCTGGGGAGGCCGTTTCCAGCCCACGCGCTGAAGGCGCAGCTCCAGGATTAGCCCAGAGTCAAGGCGGCGACCCCACCGCAGGACCAGCGAGCTAGGAACCTAGGATGTACCTTTAACGCCAGCCATGTCTCCCGAGCTGGGGCCGCGGCTGCTTCCGGCTTCCTGCCACGGCCCCAGCCCCGCCCGAGGCCCGGCCCAGGGCCGTACCTAGGTTGACGAGCCCGCCCCGCCTCGTAGAGCCCCGCCCCTGACGGTTCCGATTGACCCGGGCCTAGCCACTCAAGGCCCCGCCCCCGCAACGCAGAGCCACGCCCCTGCTCGTCTCTGCCCCCCACACTCAGAGCCACGCCCCTGCTCATCTCTGCCTTCCACACTCAGAGCCCCGCCCCTGTCCCCACACTCAGAGCCCCGCCCCTGTCCCCGCCGCTCAGAAGCCTCCCAGACCGGCCCGCATCTCCTCCCGCCCAGCCAAGGAGATCCCCGCACCTACCCACCCGACACGCTGATGGGAGTGCACCGCAAACCCGCTTTCTCAGGATAGCGGTGACGTTGCTCCCTTAGGTCCTGAGCTTCTGCATGATCCCCCAAATTGCCCCACGCTCCTCCTTTCTATCGGTTGGCCGGAACCCCGGCTCCGCCGAATCGCTGCGTCCGCGGGCCCAGAGCTCCTCTAGGGACGCGTCCACCGTAGCACGGAAGGGCGGGAACCGCTGTTCCTGGCTGCAAGGAATTTCTGCGTGAGGATGGCGAAAATAAAGAGGGGAGGGGGGAAATGACAGTCGGTAAAGCAGGGATACCCGCTTTCTCCGGCATTACATTCTCTAAGGCCCAGCCTGTCTGCGTGCACGGAGCTGTGGTGGAGGAAGAGATGGGGACCCCAGAAAAGAGGCCCCAAGGATCCTGTCATATGCCTGGCCTTCCTTGCTTAATACCAACTTTAGAACTTTTCGGGCACTAGCGTTTTCTCCTTTACACTCAGGTTTACCTGTAGAAACAAAAAACAAGCTATTTTGTGCTTGAGGCTTTCATGAACATTTAAATAAACAGCTATTATTTCTATATTCTGGGCCTCAAGGTCTGCAGGTAAGCAAGGCCAGCTTAGACTTCACAGGACCACTTCGTACCCTGCTCACAGGACAGAGAGTTTTGGCTTCGTGGGTACAATCTGGAAGAGATATTAAAAACCATCTGATCCAAAGGCTTCAAATTTTACCTTTACAGAAAGAGGCCCAGAAAGGCTAGGACTTCGCTGCTCACACAACTCTTTGGAGAAGGTTGGATTATGGGTCATTTATCCCTTTTTCTAGCTGAGAACGCCTACACCTTATGATGCCGCTCCTTTTCTTTCGCTTTTTTAAAATTTTCAACAGGACTGAAAGCTAAAGGAGTTCTGGGGAATCCAGGTTCCCCTGACTATAGAAACACAAATTCTCACCACCACCACCTTCCAGGACCCCTGCTTGGTTTCCTTTTTTAAATTGTACACTGAGCATATTATTGTCTCAACACGTTTAATTACTTGTGAGTTTATGTTTTTAGCTCCTCCCATTTCTCCTCCGAGATAGAAGGTACACTTATTAAAAACTTTGTTGCTAGTCCCTGGCTCACTGCACAACTTGCAGATCCAGAGTTACACTGCATTCTTTACTTTGTAGCCTGAGATCTATCCAAGATCACTGAGAACCTCTCTTTCCCTATGCCAAGCTCCCTGTATTGGGTGGCGGGGAAAACTGCCCACCACCCAAACCCTGGCAGCCTCGGTTTTTAGTTCCCTTGGTGGTGATCGTGATTCAGTCACTAAGTCGTGTCTGACTCTTGCGACCCCATGGAACTGTAGCCAGGCTGCTCTGTCCATGGGATTTCTCAGGCAAGAATACTACAGTGGGTTGGCATTTCCTTCTCCAGGAGATCTTCCCAACCCAGGGATCGAATACGCGTCTCCTGCATTGCAGACAGATTCTTTACCACTGAGCTACCAGGGAAGCCCCCTTTTTAGCTCCCTTACTGAAGTACAAAGCTGCACTCATGAGGAAAATTCTCCTTAACTGATGAGGATTTTGTATGGGGTCAAATCTCACATTTTCCCTTCGATTCCCAACCACCTACCAAGTGTACGTGATTTCCCTGGTGGCAGAAGACGGTAAAAGTCCACCTGCAGTCCAGGAGACCTGGGTTCGATCCCTGGGTTGGGAAGATCTCCTGGAGGAGGAAATGGCAACCCACTTCTGTATTCTTGCCTGGAGAATCCCATAGATGGAGGAATCTGGCAGGCTACGCAGTCCATGGGGTTGCAAAGAGTTGGATATGACTGCAAGACTGAGCCAGCACCAGGTGTGTAGAAAACCATATACAAGGGCTTGCTGGAGCCCCTGTATCACCCTAAGGCCAGTCCCACGGGAGAGAAATGATTTGGAGAAAAGTGACACTTCAGAGGCAAAGCTTGGTTTGAGTGCCCTGGGCTTAGCCATAAGAAACTGGAAGATGGAGAGAAGCAAAAAGCTGAGGAGTTTGCCCCAGGGTGATGTCTAGAATCAGAAAAATGCAGAGACAGTATTTGTCTCCAGTAACTTTCTTGCCCACACCAGCTGTTCTTCCCAGTTTACGAAACACTTTAAAGAGGAACTTAGCCATCTTGCCAGAGGCTTTAACCATCTTCTGAGAAAATCTGCTTTTCTCTTACCAGTGGTTCACTGAAAACCTGTTCTTCTGCTATCCCATTCTGTATTTCCTCAAGAATAAAGAAGATTTTCAATCAGAAACAGAAAGTACAACCTTAGACACTGAACCCTTTCCCAACGTGCTGTCAGGGTGTTACTTGGAAATATAAGATCACATCCTCTGTCAGACTGGCTAGGACTAAACAGGATCTCTTAGGATACATTTTTTATATTCTCTCCTTGCATTCAGTTCTCACAGTGTGAACTAGGTTTTATTATCTTCACTTTACAGATGAGAAAACTGAGGCTCAGATGGTACCTACTGAGTAGGAAAGCTGAAATCAAACCCCAAAGAGTTTAAATCTAAAGTCAGAAAATCAGCACTTGAACTGTTCCCCATTTTAGATCGTAGAACAACCAAAACCTGTCTACTTGACCTAAATTCCCCAGTAGATGTTTCCAGCAGGGAAACTGTCCTGTTGCTGTGATTGGCTCTGGAATTCAACTTGCATGTTCATTCCTTACACAGTGTTTCATCAGTAGCATGCTAAGTCGCTTCAGTTGTGTCTGACTCTTTGTAACCCCATGGACTATAGTCCACCAGGCTCCTCTGTCCACGGATTTTCCAGGCAAGAATACCGGAGTGGTTTGCCATTTCCTACTCCAGGGGATCTTCTCCACCCAGGGTTGGAACCCACAACTCTTAACGTTTCATGCATTGGCGAGAGAGTTCTTTACCACTAGCGCCACCTAGGGTCCAACTTGAAGGTTCTTCTAGACAGGGACACAGCAATGATAATTTAAATGCTTTTGATTTGCAACATTGGTTTCCAAGTAAACATGCTTCTTAAAGATCTAAATGATCTGTTTTCTGCAACAAAGTCTAAGATTCCCAGGATCAAACTCTTTGCCTCAGCACACAAATGCATTAATATCCTAGCTAGAGCCAGGATTTCTGTGCTGATTCTTTTTGGAACATAGCATTCATGCAGCATGATCAAAAGTGTGTCTGTATATGGAGGCAAGGGTGGTAAGGGGGGCGGTTAAAGTATAAATCAAGAAATTCTATCAGATTATGTTTTGGTGCAAATGTATTATATGTACAGCAGTAGCAGCATATTCTTTCCCTGTAACTTTTCTTAAAAGTGAATCATGTCAGAAGGTGTAATTCACGCTTGTTGTCCCATTCCTATGAGTGCAAAAATAACTTATGTTTCTACAAATATTTTTGAGCCTTTTAATATACATTACAAATATTTTAGACCAATCACATTTTGTTGAGTGTAACATATTTACAAAACAAAAAATATATTACAATAAATATGAATGAAACAGTGAATCCAATCAACAACGAGCTCTGTCACAACCAAGTATTTAAAAGGAATGCAAAAACCTGTTGGTCTGCATATGTTAAGAGTTTTGAGATAAATAGGGGTCCAGAATTATAATGTATCCGGCAAAGAGATAGGGAGCATCCCAAATTTAAGTTAGATAAGATTCTTTCTCATTGCTAATTACATAATGTTTAATGATGCTTTAAACTGTGAACATGGATGAATTATCCAAACATGATACCAAGCTAATATAGTTCTATCATTTCAAAATGTACGTGACATTCACATAGTATCCTTTTAATTATTATTATATACTGTAGTTCACACAATATCTACAGATGTGAATGAGGAAAAAAAGTCACAGCAACATGTCTCACATTCCAATTTTAAATAAGACAAGCACATACTGCAAACATTATTTTATAATATGTTAATAAATGACACCTAGTTTTTTATGGTTACTTTGAACAGTTTACAGCTGTATATTTAAAAAGAGAATATTTGAGGCGAGTTTCACATTGTCAGCAAAAGGTAAAATAAATAATGAACCTTTATAACAAAAAAGGAAAGGAAGAAAGAGAGAAAGAAGAGAGTTGTATATAGAACATAAAGTATTTTTGACATGCTGCTTTTCCAGTACAGTTTGCCACAAGAAAATGAAAAACAGAAAGAAACAACAACAAAAAAAGATTGTCTTTTAAAAACAATTTTTGAAAGCTTTTCACAATAGTGAGCACAAACCTTTTAAGATTAGATCAAGATCTTTCTGCCCACCTGCTTTGTATGAATATCCTCTGCACACTGTGTACGTGCACACCCAAAGAGATCTACCAAAGTCGTGGAAAACAACCACTCGCCCCTCAAGGTGAGAAACAGCCAGAACCCTGAACTGAAATCCAACCAGTCTGAAGCCTGCAAAGGTTTCACTCTGGCTTTATTTTCACAGATCTTCCTGTGCAACTGCTTTTCCTGTGGACCCCCAGCAACTTTTAGAACAAACCCCACTGTAATAATCCAAGAGGTCCTACTGCATCAGGTGGGAAGAGGAACCTGCTTCCTCAAAGCAGCCGGTCTTGATAAGCCATGTCACTTGGTCTGAAGTGGTCTTTCTCTGTCTCTCACTGCAATTGCCCCT